ACACTATCTTATTTATTATAGCTTTATAAGTTTCACCATCTGGCATGATACATACATCAGCTTTACTCATCTTCTTCAAGGTTATCTTGTCTATTCTAGACCTTTTGCATTTTCAATATATTCTTTTTCACACATCTGCAATATATTTTAGGATTAGTTTGCCAACCTCTTTTAAAAGACTTAGCGGGGGTGGGAGAGAACCAGCAGATGATGTATAGTTATGTTGCTGGACTCTCACGTGGCTGACTGTGGTTTGAGTGAGTCCCAGGCCCAGTGGTTTGAAACTCACACTGGGTGTGTGTGTGCATGTGGTTCCCCAAAATCCTGAGAGTAGAATGGAGGAGAAGGGGTTGTGGCATGGCCATCTCCTGTGATTTCTCACTTTCTGTCTCTCCTGCAAGCACATGCATCCTATAGCAACAATCTCTCTAAATAAATAAATAAGTAAAGACTTAGTGGGATTTTAAAAATGAGATTACACTGAATTTACAGACTGATCCTCTTTATCATTCTATCTCTGCCTTCAGCACCAATCCTCCTGTACCAGCAAGAAAGGCTCCCCGTGATTTCACACCGTGTTCGTTTCCATTCCCTCCTCTGCACCTTTCTGTACATGTTTGTATTATGTGTTTCCTACCCCCTCCTGTTGCCATTCCAAATGTTCAAGCTCGGAAATAAATCTCATTTAACCTATATCCCACCACTCCACAATCACATTTCCTGTTTTTTGTACAATGTGTTGGCAATTCACAATGCTGCTAAAGCTATTGTTTTTATCATATATTAATGTAAAAGCTTGCCTTTCAGCTCTGCACACAGTAGGTGTTCATTACATCTAGTTGAACTGAATTTGTTCTAATGCATGATAGATAAAACTGAAAAGAAAAAAAAAATAGCTTCCTCATTTAATCCCAGTGGGCCTAACCAACCATGTGTGCAGCAAGATCGTCGCTTCCATCTCAAGCTCACAACGTTCAAAATAGCTCTCTGAATGTTCTGTAATAGGTAATAAAGGATCCGAAAATTCTGGAACTATTCATTTTTATCCTGTTAGAGGTAGGCCTCTCATTAATGCTTAAGTCTACTCTTAAGGAAGAATGGGTATTTTTGGAAGGTAGCTACAGTTTAAGTTTGAGATCCAGCAGCCAAGTTCATGGAAATGGAGTTTTCTTTTGGTTTCACAAAACCATTGTAACCAGATAGAAGCAGTAGTTGTCCCAAACTGTGCGTTCACTAAATGCCACCGAATAATATATTTTAAAATGGTTAATTTTACTTCAAATTAAAAAAAGAAAAGAAAAAAGGAGAGAGGGTCCAGCAGATGGTGTTATGGTTACATTGCTGGATTCCCACAGAGTCGACAATGGTTCGAGTCCCGGACCCCAGCGGCTTCAACCTCATGCCAGGCACATATGCATGTGTGCCCTAGATCCTGAGAAGAGAACAGAGGAGAAGGGATTGTGGTGTAACCATCCCTCCTGGGG